GTATATATATATAATGATCAAAAATGTAAAAAAAAATATATCAAAATGAATGTAAAAAAAAAAAAAGATTACGGCATTTTGGGGGCAACCCTTTAAAGAAGATCTAGGGAATGGAAATATAAACCTTTCAAAAATGTTTAGATATTACCTGGCGGTGACAGTTTTTCATGTATTTGCATGTGTGTGTCACAGAAACACACACAGAGAGAAGAAAAGACAGAAGAGAAAGAAAGAAAAAAAAAGAGAAGAAAGAGAATAAGTGTGTGTCTGTATGTATATATATATATATATATATATATATATATATATATTATTATATATATATATAGAGAGAGAGAGAAGAGAGAGAGAGAGAGAGAGAGAGAGAGAGAGAGAGAGAGAAGAGAGAGAGAGAGAGAGAGAGGAGTTACTAATAAGGCGTACCGTATTCGTACGCCTGTAGGTACCGGATGTTTGTACCGGCCGCCTGTTCTAAATATACTCCACTCTGTCCGGCTCTGGTCGCCTTCGAGGTCGCCCGGGGTCAGGAGACAGAACTGACCTAGGAGCGACCTACCATAACTCACTCACTCTCTCGGGGTCGCTGCCCGAGCAGGGCTTGGGGCTCCCTCACTCGCTCACCCTCGGCTCACACCTTCGACGAGCCGGCCCGTGACCGGGGCTGGTTGCTCTGACCTCCCCGCACCACCAGATACCCCGTTCTTCGTGTATCGTTATTCTTGTGTATGTGTTGTAACTCTTAGCAATAAAGAGAACAGCCATTCAGTGTATCACTGACGCCACTAATTCAAACTACACTATAAAATAAGAGGTGTTAGACGTACCTCTTATAAATACACAGACACACACACATCTGTCTAACACACACTCACATCTGTATAACACACACATCTGTCTAACACACGCACACATCTGTTTAACACACACACACACATCTCTCTAATACACACACACACACACTTATAGGGGTTGCAATCATGATACGAGCGATTAGGGATCTTGTTGATGGTGATGAAGATCGATGTCGATGAAGGTGCCACGTAAATGATCGTCATGGGTTGCGATGAAGTGCCACAAACACAAAGATTGGCCGGGATAAGCAGAGGCACGCACATTTGTATAGAGATCTATCTATCCATTTGTCTGTCTGTCTATGTATATATATATATATATATATATATATATATAATATATATATATATATATATATATTTTATTTATTTATTTATTTATTTTACTTTTTTAACATATTTTAATCAAATTTCTCCCGTGCGGAGATCCGCAGGGCGAGGCTCGTCGTCTCGCCTTCGTCTCCTTTTTTTTCTTTTGTTTTTGTCTTTTTTCCTTATTATTTTTTCTTTTTAGCTTATTATCATCGGGCGGAATGTCGCCGTCTTTCTTTCCTTCTTCCCTTTTCTAGTCTTTCTTTTCCTTGTATTTCTCTCTTCTCTTCTACAACTGTTTCTTCTCTCGGATCGTCCCTCTCGCATCCCCGCCCTCCCTTCCGCGCCCGGAGGCTCACGCCCCACGACCCGTCCTCCTCGAGCTGGAACGTCGCCCCTTCAGCTGTCGGTCTCGCTCCAGACACTCACGTCGCCCATCCTCTTGTCCTCCCGCTTCCACTTCCACGTCCTTGGCCACGTGACTCAGTGACCGCCGCCGGCTGTAGCTCCAGCTCCAGACTGAGACCTTCACACAATATATCATCATGCTATATCTCCTTCTCGGCCTCTTGGGCGACTTCCTGGGTCTCCTTCTCGGGCTCTTGGGCGACTTCCTGGGTCTCCTTCTTCGGACTTCCTGGGCTCCTTCTCGGGCTCGACTTCCTGGGTCTCCTTCTCGGTCTCTTGGGCGACTTCCTGGGTCTCCTTCTCGGGTCTTGGGCGACTTCCTGGGTCTCCTTCTCGGGCTCTTGGGACTTCCTGGGTCTCCTTCTCGGGCTCTTGGGCGACTTCCTGGGTCTCCTTCTCGGGCTCTTGGGCGACTTCCTGGGTCTCCTTCTCGGGCTCTTGGGCGACTTCCTGGGTCTCCTTCTCGGGCTCTTGGGCGACTTCCTGGGTCTCCTTCTCGGGCTCTTGGGCGACTTCCTGGGTCTCCTTCTCGGGCTCTTGGGCGACTTCCTGGGTCTCCTTCTCGGGCTCTGGGCGACTTCCTGGTCTCCTTCTCGGGCTCTTGGGCCTTCCTGGGGGCTCTTGGGCGACTTCCTGGGTCTCCTTCTCGGGCTCTTGGGCGACTTCCTGGGTCTCCTTCTCGGGTCTTGGGCGACTTCCTGGGTCTCCTTCTCGGGCTCCTGGGCGACTTCCTGGGTCTCCTTCTCGGGCTCTTGGGCGACTTCCTGGTCTCCTTCTCGGGCTCTTGGGCGACTTCCTGGGTCTCCTTCTCGGGCTCTGGGCGACTTCCTGGTCTCCTTCTCGGGCTCTTGGGCGACTTCCTGGCCTTCTCGACTTCCTGGGTCTCCTTCTCGGGCTCGGGCGACTTCCTGGGTCTCCTTCTCACTTCCTGGGTCTCCTTCTCGGGGCGACTTCCTGGTCTCCTTCTCGGCTCTTGGGCGACTTCCTGGGTCTCCTTGGGGGCGACTTCCTGGGTCTCCTTCTCGGGCTCTTGGGCGACTTCCTGGGTCTCCTTCTCGGGCTCTTGGGCGACTTCCTGGGTCTCCTTGGGTCTTGGGTTTCCTGGGTCTCCTTCTCGGGCTGGGCGACTTCCTGGGTCTCCTTCTCGGGCTCTTGGGCGACTTCCTGGGTCTCCTTCTCGGGGGGACTTCCTGGGTCTCCTTCTCGGGCTCTTGGTCCTGGCTCCTTCTCGGGCTGGGACTTCCTGGGTCTCCTTCTCGGGCTCTTGGGCGACTTCCTGGGTCTCCTTCTCGGGCTCTACTTCCTGGCCTTCTCGGGCGACTTCCTGGGTCTCCTTCTCGGGCTCTTTTCCTGGTCTCCTTCTCGGGCTCTCGACTTCCTGGGACCTGGGTCTCCTTCTCGGCCTCTTGGGGACTTCCTGGGTCTCCTTCTCGGGCTACTTCCTGGTCTCCTTCTCGGGCTCTTGGGTGACTTCCTGGGTCTCCTTCTCGGGCTCTTGGGCGACTTCCTGGGTCTCCTTCTCGGGCTCTTGGGCGACTTCCTGGGTCTCCTTCTCGACTTCCTGGGTCTCCTTCTCGGGCTCTTGGGCGACTTCCTGGGTCTCCTTCTCGGGCTCTTGGGACTTCCTGGGTCTCACTTCCTGGGTCTCCTTCTCGGGCTCTTGGGCGACTTCCTGGGTCTCCTCGGGCTCAAGGGCGACTTCCTCGGGCTCCTTCATACATGCACACACACACACACACACACACACACACACACACACACACACACACACACACACACACACACACATATATCAGTGTGGATGTAACTTTGGTAATTATATCATCTGCCTCTCTATCTATCTATATGTTAGTGTGTATATGTGTGTACGTCTTCGAATATACATATATACGCCCAGATATATCCGTGTGTGTATCGTAATATATATATATATATATATATATATATATATATATATATATATATATATATATATATATATGTATGTATGTATGTATATCTATATCTTTATGTATATGTATATGTATATATATAAATAAATAAATACAATATATATATATATATATATATATATATATATATATATATATATATCCATCCATCCATCTATCTATCTATCTATCTATCTAGCTATATATATATTTTTTATAAATATATATGTATATATTTACACACACACACACACACACACACACACACACACACACACACATATATATATATATATATATATATATATATATATATATATATATATTATATATAAACACTCAAAACAGATATATCTGTGTGATTGTGTGTATATATATATAATATATATATATATATATATATATATATATATATATATATATATATATATATATATATACATATATATATATATATATATATATATATATATATATATATATATGTATATATATGTATATATATATATGTATGTACGTATGTATGTATGCATGTATGTATGTATGTATATTTTGTGTGGGTATATATATTATATATATATATATATATATATATATATATATTATATATATATGTGTGTGTGTGTGTGTGTGTGTGTGTGTGTGTTGTGTGTGTGTGTGTGTGGTGTATATATATATATATATATATATATATATATATATATATATATATATATATATAAAGAAATGATCATTACATTAAGTCCTAAGGAAGAATTCCCGATCGCTTCCTCACTAGAATATTAAACGCATATCGTGTCTCTTCATCTCCTTATAGTATTCTCTTCCCTTTGCAAGTGAAAGATTCCACTCCAGGAGCGCCAATGCAATAGGAAAATTGATCTTAACGAATGCTCAATCACTTCGTATTCCTTGGCCTGTACAAGTTACAACCACTTAGATAATGATAATGCCGCCATAAAATATTTTGACCGATAAGATCAATAACTCCCAAGTAAAAAAAGAAAAATAAAGTTTATCGCCATTAGAGATACAGAGGTACAATTCAGAGATCGATATTAACCACAACTAATTACTGTCAAAAATGGAAATAACCTCAATATTATATGATATACATTTAGTTGTGCGTGTGTGTGTCCAAACGTATATATATATATATATATATATATATATATATATATATATATATATATATATATATATATATATATATATTATATATATATATATATATTTGTTTATTTACTTTATGCTGGTAGTCTGTAAAAGTTACCACTTAGTGTTTTTATCCATTTTATCAACGCCAAACTTAATTTACAAAACACTTTAAACCAAACCAAACTACCAAACCTACATAACATGCAAGAACAGCACATCTTTCAAGCACACTATATCATACAGCAACAGCTTCACCATAAACCAAATGATAAAGAATACCCATAAAATACACAAGTTAAACCCCCGCTGGCAACCGCGACTCTGACAGGTGTTAGTAAGAGGTGAAATAACACACGAGAGTGAAAAGCCAGGTCTCAGTTCTTCTCCTTGTTCACGTGTTCTCCCGTGTTCTTTAAGTTCCCCGGCGTGATGAAGATATTCCTAGCACTCCTCTTCCTTTTCCTCTTGAGTAATACCTTCGCGGCGAGAACAGGAGAAGAAGAAAAAGATAAAAGTGTACACAGAGTGATGGTCATCTCTCTAGATGGCTTTGGACACAATTATCTCACTAAATACGATTTTCAACATTTAAATCAGCTGTTTCTTCATGGTAGTTATCCAGAGGTGTTCAGGTATGTTCTGTGACTGTGGTTTGTGAAATTGAGATTATGCATTTATGAAATATTGGTATTTTCATGTGAAATAGTATACAGTTCTTGATGTTATTTCATTCCTTCCTTCGTATACAGGGTTATTATTGATGTTATACTGTTGAAATAGTGAAAAGTTATCAAGTGACCTTTTCCTTTTTGTTCCAAGAGTTATTGTTATATACAGGTGTTCTTTGCAAGTTTGTAATTGGGATTTTGACATTTAATACTCTTAACATGTGTTCATTTCTCCCTCTTTATATTTTGTTTTCTTTTCAAGACATTAATGTCATTTTTGATAATGGCTTTCTTTTGAATACACAGTGTTGCCTGTAGAAATTCTTGCCAATCTTCTTTGACCGGCACACAGTAGCATGCTATATTTTGTTAACCCTTTGGATCCCAATGCTTCACTGCCCGTACATGGCCCAAAAAAATGGGCATTAAGCCTACTTGAGCGGCTACTCCAGCAGATGTGTGGCTTGTGGGGGTAGAGATGGAAGAGACCAACGCACGTAGATAGAGCAAATTGGACATCGCCATCTTATAGAGCAGAAGAAATAGAGTGGGTTAGGATATGGTACAAGATGCAGAGGCCTTACAGTCACCGCTAAATGACAAAAATATAACGCGCGCTCGCCTTTCAAATTCAGAGTCGATGAGCTTGTTTACCTTGCGAAAAAAAACACAACACTGAACGTAGAACTCCGTAATGTGATGCCCTAAGTAGTTCCAGTATTACTATGCGCATGTCAGAACAATATTTACCTACTTATCAGTGTATAATGTTACACATTCATGCTCTTAAAGTGTTTTATTATTGTCCTCATACTTCATTTACGTGTTTTAAGAATGATTTATAGCCTTATTTAGATTCTTGTGCATTCTGCATTTCACACTTCCTTTCGCCTGCTGCCAGGTTGACACCTAGCTTGCCCCCAATCAACCCTTCCCTCGGGCAGTGCTCGGAAGGGCACGCCTAGTCACGGCAATTTATATTGATATATTAGGTTGGTTTATTGGTTAATACGTTTTTTTGGGGGGGTTGGAATGTGTGAATTCCCATAGAGTTTTGCTGAAAAGTGGGTTGGGCTCCCATAGAGTAGAATTTCAAAGATGGCAGTTACATCCAAAGAGTTTCATTGGCCAATTTTAGGCATTTTTTGTGCTAGTTTTACGCATTTATGATCTTTATTCTTCTTATTTAAGCCTGTTTTACTCCATAATTCCCTGATATCCTTCAAGCCCTCCCCTGCTAACGGGACTATCAAATCAAGATCGTCGATGAAGAAATGGTACTTGATCTCCTGACCGATTCATTCGTTGAAGAAACGATGCCGAAAATCAATGAAATCATTGGATTTCCTGCAGAAAAACAAGAATTTTTTTGACTTAGTCTCTGCAAGGGTGCGTTGCAGTCTTCAACAATTGCCCTTGTAGGTTAGGTTAGATAAGATTATTTACCACAAGTAGGACTGTTCAGAGCTGGAGAGAAAAATACTGTATTAGTCATAAAGAATACAGAGAGCATAGCTATTAAGTATAAGAAGTAATTTCCTTTAAGTTATGATAAATCTATAGTCATCTTTAAGTTTGTAGATTGGCACATCAAAAAGGGTAAAGCCATAATCATATATCAGAGTCTGTATACTGGCCCAGTAACTGATGCTGTTACCTCTGCACTGTATGGCACGGCAGGGGGACAGTGACATGTTTATTATGCTATAGCAAAGAACTGCTCCCCCTCCCCCCAAAAATAAATAGAATAATTGGTAGTTAATAATGATAATGATAAAAAGTCATCTATGATTTTTCTGGCAAGATAAACTCATTATATTCACAGGTTCCATTATAACCAAAGATGTCCATAGGTAGTCTGTATTATTAAACATTTATGAGAGATTTGTTGACTTTTGTGAGATTCTTGATAGACGCGGATGACCAGTCATGGAAGAATATGTGTATTAGTGAACTACAGATTTTATAAATCTCCACGTCCTCATGTGCTTGGAATATTTATGATCCTAATCTGTCATGGCACCAGAGAACCTCAAACTCTCAAACACTAAATCAGTATTCTGGTCTCTTTGCACATTGAGCCATTGGGCATATGCAGATTGAGTCACTAGGATGAAATATTAGAATTAACCGAAGATTTTAATGGGGTTTTGTATTGGGATTGGATTAGCA